TTGAATGCATAACTTATATTATTCGTTGAAGATTTCAGCTTTATTATTCATTTAAGCGCTGAAATCCTGTAATTACATAGTTATTCATTTGAAAACTCAACATTGGTCGGGTACAGCTCTATTTCTGAGATATGAAAACCAATTAGATGTTAACTTGAGATCAATTGATAACTATTCTGTACCCACTCTGGTATTCTGTATACTATGATTCAAAACCAGTGAGTTAGGAACAATGCTTAGTAGCATAATATCCAAAATTTGACAAAAGAAACATATTGCATAAATGTTTTTTAACGGTTCCCGTCTTCACGCAAGCAAAATATGAAAAATTTTCAATGCAGAAAACGACTACGGCCTCTTCCCATCCATAAATACACGAACATAATCAAACTCCAGATTAACAACATTTGACTTGATTGCAGAACGATCGAAAAGAATATTAAAATCTGCATTTATTTGTGAACAAGCACGGGCTCAATCTGCTATTTACGAAAGATTAAGTAAAATTGGATGTCATATGTAACATCGAATGCTGTATATACTTTAATAAATGGAATGTATAAACAGAAAACAATAAAAGGGCTAGCAATGATCCCGGTGGAATACCAACCCATATAGACAAAAAGGTTGAACGATCAGGTAGAATATTTTAGTAAGAATCATCGCCAAAGCAGACCAGCGAATGTAGTACAGAGAGGACTTGGTGCTTGTAGCCTAGTATAAACATACAATAACGACCAATATTGAGAGAGTAACAATATCGTCCATGACCTTTAACAGAGTTATTCACGATTAATTGTAAGACACAAATCATATTACGAAGGGGTAAAACATTATGTTCAGTAATATATCTTCGTAGGTAGATCTCCATACATTTTGCCAAACCCGCTGTAGTAACTGGGATGGATACAAGATCAGTTGGATGTGTGATATTTATATCATTTATATCAGCTGTTACAGATTTAACACCCCAGCAACCTATAGTTCGTTTTTTTTCTATAATACTTGTCAATGTAAATTATTTAGGGTTTCTGTTGGTATTATCTAGGATCCTTATAAAATTTATGTTGTTTTCCTGATTTTTAGTAACATTTTCAGTAACTAAATAGTTGAGGTTAAAATACTAATACATTTTTAGATAAATACGATTTTAACGAAGTACATATTTGTTGTAAAAACGTGCTACAAAGTAATTAAGTAGAACAAAATACCATTTCTAGGTAAATAAATGGCAAATAAACACCCAACAACATTTTTTATGCACCTTTTCTTTTTGAATAACGAAAGCTCAAACGTCAGTGTGACATATTTATTTCAAAACATGATAAAACAAAATGTTAATTTTGCCAACTTTACAACAATTTGACAGGTATTATAGAAAAAAAATAAACTATAACCGAGTTTAAAAAATAATTATTAATATGCTAACAGCATTATGAAGCATTATAATCGGTGTGGACTTATCGCTAACCAGCAGTACTTTAAAAAGTAACTGAAAAATCTTTTCCTGCTTTAGCAATGTATCACGTCCAAAGTATTTTCCTCGGCTTCTAAAGCACGTCTCTCGTCCTTCGGAGTTAATACATCGGTTTACCCATTCTTTATTATTTTGTTGTGTAATAGTGAGTATCGGGTGGTTACAATATTAATCGTCCAGACTAAGGTTGCGGTTTTGGTTTCGGTCGATTTTAAAGTCAGCGTTTCGCTCTCAGCTGAAGTTAGCGATTTATTTACTTGATCACTTTTAGTGATTACTGATTACAAGTCATTTATTGTTGCCGAAAATGTACAAACTTCACCTTGCCAAAGCTTATAGGTTGTCAATATCAATGGCTATCATTGTGTCTCTTCACGAATTTTAGCGATAGAACGACATCTTTCTTGATACTCAATGAATATTTAGGCATATTCAATTTAATTACCACTTTAACGATTTTAAAAATTATTATTTATTATTAATTTCTGAAGTACAGCATACGTTGTATTAAAAAATGTAATTGAGCATCAACTCGAACATTTCATACACTACTATATATAGTAGTAGTAGTGCCGATTATAAATAATCGGTCGATTTTTTCCGAAGTTAATCCAAATCCGGAGATCGAAGAAGGGTATCTAATTATAGATTTATATCGCTACAAGCACTATTTAGCAAAATCCTTGAAAAACTTATTTATAAATAACTTCTTTTTCCAATAAATGTAGAATTGACTGAATTCTGAAGTCTACTAAATGGACACCACATTAATTAAATTCATTTGCCCTAACATACTGCAATGAAATGACAAGAATCAAGCGAAATGTATGAAACAGAATACATATTTCGCCTAATTAAGGTGATACTGCTTGACAAATTAAAGTTTTTCTTTCTTGACATTCATTCATTTTTACAACAAATTATTTATTTTGCTGTTTTCGCCTTTGGTTTCATCAAGGATACAACTGATATTGCTAGTACATCATTATTGTATCTCAAAACTGTCTTATTGTTAATGTTGAGAAATATAATGAACTTCATTAGCAAGGAAGGTAAACCCTATCATGTACAACTACATCCTCGATGGCATTTCTATACCTAAGCCCATACAGATTCGTGATTTAAACATTGCAATTGACGGAAAATTTATATTTGATGGTCACGTTAACGGGGTGTTGCATCGGCGTAGCATATGTCGTTCATTCATCATTCTTTTCTATACATTATGCCATAAGAACGTTTCATTTTAATCCTCGATATCACACAAACGTTAATAAAATTGAAAGAATTTATAAGAAAATTTGTTTCAAAACTAACACTAATCACATTGACTACTTACTATTCAGTAGTTCCTTTAACTTCTGATCCCTATTAAATTTGCGATCCAAAATTTTATTTGATTTTTCTTTTCTACAAGGTGTTCTTCATGATTAGCATTACGCCATTTTAAAGGACTGGTTTTAAATAATTAAATAGTGTGTGCAGAAACTACTTTGTACGCAGTCTTTACCCTGTAGGCTGTTAATAAATCCGCAATTTGAATAATTTAGATTAGTTGTGTTATTTGAAGCTGTGATTATGTAAATTTTGGCTTGAACCGTTATTGTACTTAAAGTTGTTAATTTTATTTTAAAAGTAACAATGATTTTGGTAACTTGCGCCATTATTTATTATCAGCAAGTAGGTGCCTACTGATGTATAAACTGAGATTGTTGTGGATTGTACCGCTATTTTCTAAGGTCATCAATTGTAGAAATGATTCCATATTTATTAATGGAAGTCCCAAAACTTATGAATGGGTTATTAAAAAAGCTGAATTATTTATAAGTTTTGTAATGGGCATTACGATAAAGATTTCGAAATTCTGTTTAGTATTAAGCTTTACAATACATGTCTTGGACTTTCGAAGGCGAAACGATACATTGCGGAAAAGTTGAAATGAAATTGCCAATCAACATTAAATAACAGTAAAAATATAATTTGCAGTCGAGGATAATGATGCGAATATGATTCTTAAATTGTTGGCCATTTCTTAGAAGCAAACAAGCTTTCAGACTGTTACAAAATACTAATACCAGTATAGTACTACCACTTTTACATAATCAGGATATAGAAATACAATAAATTAGCGCTTATTTGACTCTTTGAACAAAAGTATGTCATCAAGTTGTATGCCAAATAGCGTTTATTAAAAATGAAACCATCATTTCAAAATGATTTTGTAATGTTATGATGGAATGATCCTCATGATTATAAAGCATCATCAATGCGTTTTATGTCTGAATAGTTATAGCACTTGTGATAATGACATTGAGAGTCTCAATCTAGGCACTCCTAATGAATGAGTAGATCATGAAAAACTTCTAATCTGAATGCAGATAGCAAAGATCAATGCTTATTGGTATGTTTTACGTAAACCAATTATAAAATATATACCAGGCACATGCAATAATTGCCTCCAATGAGCATCATTCAAATATTGTTGTCAAAAATACAAATACACAATAACGGAATGAAAATTCTTCTTCTTTTCGGTTTCGGTTTGGCTGAACCTTGCGTAGAAAGTTTGGCAAGACCTCAAAAATTTTAAAATTCGGTTTCCTTTCAGATACGACTAAAACTAGGTACTTATTGAAATTCGGGTTCGATTTTAAAAGTAGTTTCGATCGAACACTTTTTTTCAATTTAGATAGGCTTGATCTTTAAGGGATATCGACAAGTTTATTGTATCTGTTAACCATCGAGTATAAGTCTTGGTAAATCTGAAAGGTCACCTATTCTTGAAGATTCACAATAGCAGAAATATAATATTTAATATTTATTTATGATTATAATTATATTATGATTATAATCAACAAATTACTAAACACTAATTTGAAAAGCTATGGGACAGTTTGCAATTAATATTTTTATAAAAATATCTTAATCCTGTACCTTGGATGCAAACTGCATTACTCTAAACTGTTACTTATTAATATTTCAACACAATGTTATAATAATATTATAAAGGAGGTAAATGCAAATTACACACGGTACTATCGTGACGTCATTTCCCTCCGCACCTCTTAAATCCAAACATTACGTTCCCAAACAACTTTATACATTATATGATATTTACTCAAGGAACCTTGAATTTACCCATAAAAATAAAAAAACTAAATCTTAAAATATTTTTATAATAACTTTGAAAATAAATGACTTCTAGATTGATTGCAATACATTGAAAAATATTGTTTATTATAAAATGAATATCGTGTAAAATGTAACCAACCTTATTTCCACTATAAGTTTTTCAACATTCTACAAATTACTTAACAAACACTTGACTAATTACACCAACATAAATATTTGCAAAATAATCTTGCGAAATTTTATGATGTAACTTGGTTGTTACTTTCTAGAATCTAAGGGATTATTTTGGAATTAAGCTTATATTATACTTTTATAATTAATAAGAATAATAAGAATGTGTTTGATCGATTCGAAATAATTTCATTTAATTTTTTAAAATTCAATATCTAACCTGTAAACGAAGACGTCTTAACCAAGCGATAACTTTGAACCCAGCTTTTTGAAAAAGACTATTTTTCCTAAAGCTCGCCGAAGCAGTTTCAACAGGCATAACCACTGTTCTTGATTAGGTAAATTCTTTTTTCTGTCTGAAAATACTGAATCTCTTCTTCCACAAGCTTCCAAAAATATTAATATCTCTTGCTACATTCGAAAATAATCTTTCTTCTTTTACTATGTTTCTTTATCAATCAGGTACATTTCATTACGATTAACTCCTTGAGATTAACATTGTATTAAAATATTGGGCAAAAATGTTTTAATTATATATTAGGATTATTTTTTTTTTTGATTGATATTTTAACTGTTTTTCAAGATCACTTTAATGTTCACACTTTCTTTCTCTTCATTTTAATTATTTGTTTATTTTCACCTTTTCCCAAAGTTATTCTCCACTTTAATTTAAATTAAAACAACAACTTTTTATCAAAACCGGAATAAATCTTAAGATTTTCATGATTATTTTCTTATTAACTTTTATTCTTATCAATGATATCAATTTATCAACGCGGAAAAATCTTCCTCTTATATCAACTTTTTTTTTCTTTCAATGATTACGTGTCGTGTAGTGTCGCAGTGAGAAGGAATAGAAAAAGAGCTTCTGAAAGCTCTCGTATCTGCTGCACGGAGGGGGGTTGCGGATGCTGAGAGCTTTCGCCGACTGGCCGAATCAGGCGAACGAGCGAGCACTGACCTAGTAAGGGATGTAGAGTAAGCTCGGGGATCGGTCGATATGGGTTTGCGCATGCAGTTCAAAATGCCTCATAGTCAAGGTCACAGTCATCATCAAAACCTAAACCACCAAACCATAAACCTCCGAAAACGTTTCAATCAATTTTTTAGATACTTGTAATCAAGTTCAAACTCCAAACTTAAATCGAGTTTCAAAACCAATTTTCTAAATATAATTCAAGAAAATATTTTTTTTTATATTTCCTGTCTAGATCAAAACGTTTATTTTACTTCGTCGGTTTATTTATCGACTAAATAGAGTGAGATCTTAATAAAATATTTATTTTATTTCAGATTTTGAAATTAAGGAATTAAATTATATTTTACGTCACACTAATGTTTTTATTAAGAACAATTTTAAGATATCATTTGGGATAAAAATTATTTATTAATTGCTATAAACAAACTGGATTCACCAAATAATTCACTGTATACATAAATTTTTATAAAATTATTTAAATTAAATATAAAGCAAAGAAAATGCCCATTATTAGGTGAAAATGCCAAGAAATCTAAATCTTAAAACAATAAATAGATTAATTTTTGAACAAGTGAAAACTTCAAATCTGAAAATATATTAAGTGGTGAATAATAAAACTGAGCATCAACACTTTTGATTTTTGGACCGTGCAACAAAAGGAATAGTACAGCCAATTTTTATATGTGTAATTTATTTAAGTGTGGTAATTTCAGTTCACTAGTATCATAGGTTATTTATAAGAACAATAGATACTGGTGTGAAGTTATCCATAAATCCCAGCAATAAACTTAAAACATTAATAATTCCGTAACCAATACGATTTGGGTAACCAAATTTCACACACAGGTCACTCTTACCCTCAAGAACAGCTAACCACCCCCATTTGGTAAAAAAAAAATTTTTCAACCCTCACCCCCGAAAAAGGGATGTTTTCGCCCTGATGGGCACCTTCGAATTAAACGAAATTCTACCACATAATAGAACACACTTCTAAGTATTTTTATCAATTTTCAAAACACCGTAAGCCCTAACGGTTTTCGAGAAAAAAAATCAGTATTATAAACCGCGGATGGGACTTTAGGGGTGAATTTGACCCCGTTGGGCACCT